CCGTTCTGTGGCCCCATATTGAATTCCACCGAAGGCCCCAGTGGCGGTGTCCGCATGCGTTTCCCCCACCCATCTCAGCGCGCCGTGGCCCCATAGGGAGCTCCACCGAATGCCCCATGTGCTGCATTCGCATGCGCACCCTTAGCCTTGAACCACGTTTCGTGGCCCCTTCGGGAGCTCCATCGAAGGCCCCAGTGGCGGTGTCCGCATGTGTTCCCCCCCACCCACCACAGCGCTCCGTGGCCTCATCAGGAGCTCCGCGAAAGGCCCCAGTGGCTGCCCCGCCTCATTGCGGCACACTTCACACGCTTCGCGGCCCAACAGTGGTTTCCGCGTAAAGCCCCAGTAGCAGCGCCCCGCGCATCGGCACACACACACACACACACACACTTCGCATGCGTCATGGCCCCATGAGGAGATTCCCCCTATGGCGATACCAGCAAGGATCGCATGCACAACTGCACATGGTTGGGCCCTTCGCCAGGTTAATTTCCTAAGCAACTGGGCTCCCTGTCGCTGCCTTGTTGGCGCCGTTGCCGCCCTGTCGCCGCCTCGTCGCCGCCCGTCGTTTGGGCTCCAGTGTCGGGTCCATCGTCTGGGCTCCAGTGCCGGATCCACCGCCTTGTTGTTGCCGTCGCCGCTACGTCGCCGCCTCGTCGCTGCCGGCCGTTGGTTCTCCTCTCTGAAAAGACTCTCCCCCCCCGGCGTCCTCGGTCCCCCTTTCGGGTATGTAAATCGTACATGATTCTGACCACATGTCCATCCTAAGTATGAAATCACAATGTCCCAGGCCAGCGGGTGCCCCCCCCGTGAGGTTCCCTGGTAAAAAACACTGTGCGGTGAAATTTTTTGTTCTAACATAACACTTGTCCACGAATCCCTGTCAACAAATGGGACGAAGTGCACACGCGCGCGTCGTCGCGCGCGCATGCCGAAATCCTCCAAAAACCTTCGGTGCCGGAAGGATTTCGCAATCGAGTTCCCAAAAAACAAACAAAAACACAGAGTTTCGCAACACTGATTTGCTAAGAAAGCTTCCGCGCGAGCTCTTGCGAAATCTTGAGAAAACCATTGTTTTTTTTCAGGATTTTTACAACATGCTATTAAACGGGTTTCGCGCGCGCGCGCATGTCGAAATCTGTCGAACGCCCTTGCGCGTGTACCGTCGCGAGAATCCTCTGCAAAAAATGAGACGAAGTGCAGACGCGCGCGTCGTCGCGCGCGTACCCCGAAAACCTTCAGAACCCATCGGTTCCGAAAGGATTTCAAAATCGTGTGTCCAAAAAACCTTCAAAAACATAAGGTTTCGCAACACGGATTATCAACAAAAGCGTGCGCGCGCGCTCTTGCGTCGTCGTCGTCGTCGTCGTCGCCGTCCTCCCTCCTCCCGCGTCGTCGTCGTCGTCGTCGCCTACGTCGTCCTCTGTCTTTCCTCGTGTTCGTCGTCGTCGTCCTCTTTGGCGTCGTGGTCGTTTCCGTCGTTGTCGCCGTGGTCGTCCTTCCTCCTCCTCCGTCGTCGTCGTCGTCGTTTCGTCGCCGTCGTCGTCGTTGTCGTTGTCGTCGTCGTCTTCCCTCATCCCTCGTCGTTGTCGTCGTCGGCGTCGCCGTCCTTCCTCCTTCTTCGTCGTTCGCGTCGTCGCCGTCCTCCCTCCTCCCTCGTCGTTGTCGTCGTTGTCGTCGTTGTCGCCGTTGTCGTCCCTCCTCCTCCCTCGTCGTCGTCTTCGTTGGCGTCGTCGTCGTCGTCTTCTTCGTCGTCGGCGTCGTTGTCGTCGTCGAAGTCGTCGGAGACGTCGTCGGTGTCGTCGTAGTCGTTTTCGTCGGTGTCGTCGCAGTCGGTCTTAAAAGGTTTTGCAAACCAAGTTGCGGGTGGGTGGGTCGGATGTTTGCAAGAGGGTAGGATGTGTCACATCATGGGTTAAAATCATCTGCACCACATAGATGGCGCCACATGGCTTGCACCTTGCACTACGTAGGTTGGACCACATAGAATCAATGACATATGTTGCACCACGTAGCTTGCACCACTCATTTTGCACCCTGGTGGGTGGGTGGGATGATTTCGCGAGCAGTGGATTCGAGAGTTTACTGCGAAGACCCACTAATTGCACCACTTCATGTGTGGCAACACAACGTGTGTGGTGGAACAGGAGCTCGCTTGCTAGATACCTGCAGCTGCCTCCCGCGTCAGACGTTTAGAGCTGGATTGCTCGTGCCCTGCACCTTTCGCTCCTCCCTGGCCCTCTCGGTGGCGACCGCCGGACCGCGGCGCCGGGGCGGCGGAGCGGTCCTGGGGCGCCATGCGCGAGCTCCTGCGGGAGACCCTGCTGTGACCGCTCGGGCGCCCGCGCCGGGGCGCCCTCGGCGCGCTCGCGGCGGCCGCACCGCGGGGGGGCCGGCGGCTCGGAGAGCTCAGAAAGAGTCGTCGGCTCGGAGGGCCGCGGAGTTTCAGGAGGGGGAAAATCACAGACACAATTAATAGGCGATTCCCAGAACAGATGGGAAGATCTGGGAAGTGGGGGGGAAGGCAAAAGCCCAGAACATATGGGGAACATATGGGGGATCTTTTTATTTGTGTGTACTTATTTGTGTGTTTGTGGGCCCCTTCAAAAAGGAGTCGTCGGCTCGAAGGGCCGCGGAGTTGTCGGGGGTGCGAGGTCTACCGCTCGCGTGCGGCGCGGTATCCTCGGGCCTCGGGCCGGCGCCCCGCGCGGGGTCCGAGGGTGCGCGCGCCGCCGCTTTGCGCCCCCCTCCCTGCCCAGGGCGCCCCTGCTCCTCCTCGCTCTCGCCGTCCTGCTCCTGCCCCGGCGCCCGCCGCTCCACCTCGTCCTCCTCCCGCCGTGCTCCTGTCATTACCAGCCTCCAACGTGTCCCTATCCCTAGGATGGGCACGCCAAAAGGCGATGACAATCTCAGGGATCCGCCCTCAAAAAAAAGAAGGGAACCCCTGAGATTGGCACCGTGATGAGGAGGTGCCCAGCATAGGGATAGGGATATGTTCCAGGCTGGTAATGTCCTGCTCCTGCTCGCCCCCCCCCCCGCCCCTGGTGCTGCATCTCGGTCAGGCCGGCTTGGACGGGCGACGCTGCCCCGCCCTCACCAGACCACCAGACCCCGTTGGATCCACCGCCTCCGCCCTGCCGCGCGACGCTGCTGTTTTTGTTCCGTCCCCCGCCCCACGCCTACTCCAGATTTCGTAATAAAAGGGAGGGGGTCTGGACCCTCCAAGACAAGCCATTTCAGACCCCCCCCCGTGGGAGAACCCTCCAAAACATCGTCCCCAGACCCCCCAGGCCCTCCAAGATAGCCTGGAAGAGACCCCCCCGAAATGAGACCCCCCTCCCTTTATTACGAAATCTGGAGTAGTCCTGCATCGCTCCCGCCGGTCCGCTGCCCAGCCCCCTGCATGCCCCATGCTAGCCGTGCGTCCCAGGCTAGGAAGCACAGCGGGCTGCGCGCATCGAGCAACATGCACCCGCGTTGTGTCTTACAGGGATTGCGCCTCGCTGCCCTCTCCTCCCATCCTTGCCTCTGCCCTCCCTCCGCATGCCCTTTTCGACGCATCCCTCACACGTCTCGTGGCCCCATAGGGAGCTCCAGCGAAGGCCCAAGAGGCACCGTCCACATGTCAATGTCGCGCCCGTTTCGGCACACCCCTCGCACGTGTCGCAGCCCCATGCTCCACCGAAGGGCCCAGAGGCACCGTCCGCATGTGGGCGCCCCGGCCGTTTCGGCACACCTTCGTACGTTTCTTTGCCTCACAGGAAGCTCCACCGAAGGCTCCAGAGGCAGCGTCCACATGTGGATGTCGCGCCCGTTTCGGCACATCCCCTAGCTGCATGGCCCCAGGGGAAGCTGCACCGAAGGCCCCAGAGGCACCGTCCACATTTAGACGTCGCGCCCGTTTCGGCACATCGCTCACACGTCTCGTTGCCTCATACGGGGCTCTCCCGAAGGCCCCAGAGGCAGCGTCCACACGTGTGCGTCGCGCTCGTTTCGGCAAATCCCTCCCACGACTCGTGGCCCTCACCGAAGGCCCCAGAGGCACCTCCCGCAGTTGGACGTCTCGCCCATTTCGGCACATCTCTCACACGCGTCGTGGCCCCACAGGGAGCTGCACCGAAGGCCCCAGAGGCACCGTCAACATATGGGCGTCGCGCCCAGCACAGCTCCATCGAAGGCCCCAGAGGCACCGCCCACATGTGCCCGTCAAACCGTCTTCGGCACACCCCTGAAACGTTTCGTGGCCCCGGAGGGAGGTCCATTGAAGGGGCCCCAGAGGCACTGTCCACACGGGGGCGTCGCATCCGTCCCGCATACAGAACTTGCGCGCTTCGTGCCGCCATAGGGATCTCCACCGAAGACCCTAGAGGGGCCCTCCACATGTGAGCGTCACGGCCTTTTCTGCACACCCTCAAACGTTTCGTGGCCCCATCGGAACGTCCACCGTCGGCCCTGGAGGCAACGTCCACGCGTAGGCGTCACGCACGTTGCGGCACACCCCTCAAGCGTCTCGTGGCCCCATAGGAAGATCCACCGAAGGCCCCAGAGGCCGAAATGTGGGCGTCATGTCCAGTTCGGCACATCCCTCGCACGCTTCGTGGCCCCATAGGGAGCTCCACCGAAGGCCGCAGTGGCAGGGCACGCATGCGTCCCCGCGCCCATGTCGGGGCGATGCTCTGGATTGCTTCTGGTTGGGTCCTTGGGCCGGTAACGGAACGGTTCGCGCTGGCGCCGTGTTGGAATGCTTGGGGATGGTTTGTTTCGCAGACGGCGCTGGCGCGAATTGTGACGTGACCCCGGGGGGGAGGGGGGGAGGGGCGTGGCTGGCAATCTTGCATTATGGCGAGTATGAACAGTATGGGTTCTAGCCTATCTCTATCCCTCCTGTGCCATGGTGCCTCAGCCCCATCACCCACCCTCCAAGGTGGGATGGGCCTGCGAAGCCCGAAGTAGCCGGCATGTCTCCTCACCCAGGAGGTGGGTAAGCCGGCCTCCGCCAGGTCGTGCTGGAGTCAGCCTCGACCCTGTCGGTGTCCAGTTCGCTGCTGGCGCTGGACCTTCGAGAGGAGACTCGCGGGGGGGGGCAGGGGGGGAGCGCTCGCGCTGCAATGAGAGAGCGGCCTGCCAGTCCACCTCAGCTTCATCCTTCCTCCTTCCACCTGCTCCACCCTCTTCCCCTCACCCTTTTGTCAGCGAGCGAAGAACGGTATAACATAAACTTTTTCGCTGTCGGGGCCGCCCAGGGACAGGCGCCCCCGACAGCGAAAAAGTTTATTTTATACCGTTCTTCGCCCGTTAATTTTGCACCATCGCCGTGCCATCCCTTGCCCTCGGGACGTCCTGCCGCGACACGGTGGCGCGACGCACACGCCACGCAAGCCCGCACTCGCCCCTCCACCTCTCCGCGGGCTCGGTGTCCGAGGCACACTCCGCTGTGCCCCACGGGCGCCGCTCAGCCTTGTTCTTGTCGGTGGTGCTCGGACGCGCGGGCCTCGGCCTCTGTCCCTCGTGAGGCTTCCGGCCTCGCCGTCCCGGCGCGCGGGCCCGCCTCCGAGGCAGCCGCCGCAGGAGCCGGCGGGCCTGCTGGCCTCCGGCGCTGTCCCTGGGCCCGCGGATGATGGCAGCGGGTCCCGCAGCTCGCCCGCGACCCGCCCTCTATCCTGCGACGTCGTCGTGACCCACCCGCGACCCACCCGCGACCCACCCGCGACGCACCCGCGGCCCCCCGCGGCCCACCCAGTGTCGTTGTCTTGTCGTCGTCGCCCTGCGGCCCGCCCGGCGACCCACCCGCGACCCGCCAACCCACAGCCCGCGACCCGCCCCGCGACCGTCCCGCGACCCACCGTTACTGGCCTGAGAAACTCTGCACCCGCGGCGGGCTGTTTTGCGCCGGCTTTGGGGAGCACCGTTGTGCGTCATCCCCCGTTCGCATTGGGCATCAATTTGTCTCGCCACGGCCCCCGCCACACAGTATAGTAGCGAGGGCAGTTCTGGGGCTGGCAGATTCGAGCTCCGATGGAGGCAGCCGTGGACGCCGATGCCTCTAGAGGCAGGGGAGACCACGCCCCTCACCGATCAACGCCCGCGCAGCGCGGAGCTGCGCATGGAGTTCTCAAACATGAGGGTGTCAGCACGCGTGGTCGGACTCATCGTGGCACCGCCCCTGCTTCCCCTGGGCACGCCACGACTGCTCGCTGAGGTAGCCCTGCCGCATGCACGTGCACTGTTCCAGGGTTGCTAATGGTAGCTTTCTGTTCGACTGCCACCTGACTGTGCATCGCTTGCTTTCCAGCTAGCCTCCTCGAGCGCCTCCATGTTGCCATGTTCTCGCCGTCATCGTGCCAGTCGCTTGTGCTCGTCTGAATTGCCTGTCGATTTTGTAGTGTGCTAGCTTGTTTCCAGAGTACCCGAATTCCAATCATCGTAGGCCCAACATTGGCTTGTGTTTACGACGGATTGTGTTTGCTTGCCTCTCTTCCAGCCGTGGCCTTGAGCTTGCATGTGGTAGTTCACCTCAGGGTGCGTCTAGCTTGCTTGTCGCTTTTCGTAGGCGTAGCATGCTCATTCCTCAAGTTTGTGCTGCACTAATGATTCGATGTGCCTCTAGTTTGCCGATGCGCTAGAGTTCTCACTGCCGCCAGAATGTCGTAATAACTGTTCATACACCGGCGGAACTACGAATATTGGCAACAGACGGGTAGAGTGTTTTTGCGCACGCGTGCGCGAATTTGTGTGTTGCGCGCGTTTGACACGTATGTATGTGCTTGTGTGTTTTGCGCGGCGTGGAAGGTGTGCTAGGTTTGGTGCGTGCCGGGTTTCGGGTCTGCGGAGAGAAGTGCCACGTCCAAGCATTGGGTATGGCGTTGGGGGGCGCGCCCGTAGTTCTCACCGGCCTACGCCCTGCTCCCGGGGCCGCGGTGCCGGGCGTGGCCTAGCCAGCTACGCTGGCACGTCCACAGACCGCCGAGTCGGACGGGAGCACTGTTGGGCGGGGGCTGCGCGCTTCTTTGCTTCCCGTCGGGAGCTCTTTGCACGATACGGCGCCTCTCCAGGCCCGTGAGTGCCCAAACCGCCCGGTTGGGCCGGGGGCAACGCCTCTTGGGCGCCCGAGGGTGCTCGGGGTACAGTGCCGATTGACACGTGGGCCAGCGCTCGAGGGCGGCCAACCCCAGGACGGGGGGCCCCCAGGTTCCCCTCGGCCTGAGTGGCCCCCGCAGTCGCCCCCATGGTGTAGTGCGTGGCCGGGTGCGGAGTGGAATGGAGACCCCCTGCTCTGGCACTTGGCTGCGGCTCCCTCATTTGTTTCAAACCGCGACGTGTCGCTTCGAACTTGCGCGGGGGCGGGAGGGCACGACTCGCTGCCATGTGCGTGCGGGGGCGGTTGGATTCTTTTGAATCTTCCCCCGTACGCCGGGTAGCGTAAGGCTGGCTGCCGCCTGATCACCGGGGGCTGGCAGACTCTGGTTCTGTCTTCGCGCGGGTCTTCTGGGCCGATCCTAAGGCGTCTCTCCGTGGTGCCGCGCTGATGCAAATCGACCCTTTTCGGGTATCGTGCCGTCTGGATTGGGGTGTGTGGGGGGGGGATGGGGGGCGGGCGGGGAGGTCCAGGGGCATTCGTGGTCGGGGGCGGCAGATGCCGGAGTGGTCATTTGGGGAGTACGCGTGTTTCGCCTGTCAGTCGGGTCGTCGTCGCCCTCTGGGGTCACCCTTTTGCGCTGGGAGGTGGCCTTGCACCGCCTCCTCGGGTGGGGGGTCTTGCACCCCTGGCGGCGAGGGGCCTTGCACCCTTTTCCTGACCGACAGGCGGGGAGGACGCACGTCGCGGGGAGGTTTGCCGGACGGGCTAGAATTCACAACGGCACATGCCTTGTTGGAGTTCCGCTCGCACACCATCAGCTGAGATACGGTCCTGAGGGCGTTCCGGGTTGAAGGTCGTATGGGCGCTCCAGGTTGAAGGCGGTGAGTGTGTGTGTGTGTGTGGAACTGTCGGCGCACAGTGCGTGTCGTGCGCTTCTGAAGGTGTGCATGCGAAGCTGTCTTGAGTGCCAATATTCGATTTCTTGCTGGTGCCTCAATCATCGGCATGTTCTTCCAGGACGGGCGTCGCAAGGCCCGATATTCCGATGAGGCGCCTTCATGGTACGGTCCTTGACCCTGGTACACCCAGTATGGGGCTCCGTTTACCAAGGGGATCTCTCCGCCTCGTCACTCCTGGTCTTTTCTCCCTCCCTCACCTCTTCTGCTCTGGGGGCTTTCGGGGTGGGGTCCGTCGCGGTGGGGCGGAGGATCGGGCTCCCCCTCGTGCCTCTCCCGGCACGGGGTCCCCGCCCCCGCCTCGTCGCGGCGCACTTCACCCCTCCGGGGTTGGGGTCCGGGGTCCGGGTCCTGCTGGGGAGACGAAGGGCGGCCTTTAGGCCTACATTCCCTTCCACCAGTACCAGTACCAGTACCAGTGAGCGTGTCGACGGATCTTCCGTTCTATGTTGCAAGCTTTCCAGTTTAGCATGTTGTTCTCCAAATTGTGTCTGCAATCAGGGCATCCTACTTCGCCTCAACAGTCGTGACAGTGTCCCGCGCATGTGAGAGGAAGGCGCTTGTGTCCCCACAGGAACCGGGATCTCATCCATACGGTGTAGGGCCCCACCCAGGCGGTCCAAACCGTAATGTCACGCCGGGGCGGCCCCATCCACAGGGTTGAATACTCCAGATTTCGTAATAAAGGGAGGGGGGTCTCCTTTCGGGGGGGTCTCTTCCAGGCTATCTTGGAGGGCCTGGGGGGGTCTGGGGACGATGTTTTGGAGGGTTCTCCCACGGGGGGAGGTCTGAAATGGCTCGTCTGGGAGGGTCCAGACCCCCTCCCTTTTATTACGAAATCTGGAGTACGCAGGATCCCACCAATCCATCCACATGGGTTCTACCAATCGGGCCAGCCAGAGGTCGAAGCCCTGGCCCACAGGTCCCCGTCCATAGGGTCCCACGTGGCACAGGCCGGAGGAGCGAAGACCTGGGGAGGGGGGGAGTTCGAGGAGGTGATTGTGACGAGGAGGAGGTGGAGGAGGAGGAGGAGGAGGAGGAGGACGAGGAGGAGGAGGAGGAGGAGGAGGAGGTGGAGGTGGAGGAGGAGGAGAAGGAGGAGGAGGAGGAGGAGAAGGAGGAGGACGAGGAGGTGGATGGGGCACCCCAGGAGAAGACGGCCGAGGAGCGGTGCGCGAAGATGCCGTACGAGGAGTTCCTGGCGCTCTTGCGACGACACCAGGTGGGCTGTCATGTAGCCCCGACGCCACCGACCTTGGCCAACATTTTCCCCGACACGACAGATCCCGTTGAGTACGCGCTTCCAGTGTAGATCGCAGACTGGGGGTGAGACCGCAGTGAAACGGCGAGCCCCCCCCCGCGGGCGGGCGAGGCGAAGCTCTGTGGGTGGGCGAAAGGGAGGATGGCGCCCTTTGCGAAACCAGGCTCAATGTCTCTCCTCCCCCCAGTTCGCCGGCAGTGGCTTGGGGGTGTCCTGCCGGTGTCCCGTGGTGTGACGTGGTGTCCCGTGGGTTCCCGTGGTGTCCCGTGGCGCGATTTCCCGCGATGTCCCGTGGTGGCCCGTGAAGGTCGATAGTGAGGTCGATCGTAAGATCGATTGCGAGAGCGGTTGAGTGACATCGATATTGAGATCGGTAGTGACATCGATAGTGAGATTGAAAGTGAGAGCGATTGTAATGTCGATAGATAGTTATATTGATCGACACAGGGGGATCGATCGTGGAATCCATCGTGTCTTTTGTCCGTGGTGTCGCGTTGTGTCTCGTGGTTCCCTGTGGCCTAGTATATTGTTCTGTACTGTGTCGCGGTGTCTCGCGTCGATAGATCGATAGTGGGATGACGATGGCGGTGGTGTCGGTGGTGGCAGTTTTTTTCTGCGATGGCGGTGGTTACGCAATTTCCGAATGATAGTGGCACTCATTGATAGATAGTGGGATCCATTGCGAGGTTGGTAGCGAGATCGCTACACAGATAGTGGGATATATTGCGCGGTGGATTGTGAGAATAGTCGATAGACCGTGGGTCGCGATGGTGTTCTTTACTTGCCTCAGCAGTGCATTCAGGTGCTCCGTCCGATGGTGTTTCGATGGTGTCGCGATGGTGTCGCAATGGTGTCCCGATGCAGCGCCGTTTGTGGCCCAATGGTTTCACCGGTGTCGTCTTCATGCATCGTCGCCAACTCGTGAGCACATCACCCGCATCGTCACCGTCACAGTCGTCGCAGTTGCCACCAGTCTCCCCCCCCCACAGACAATGTCCTTATCACCCGAAGGGTGGTCGTATAGGTATGAAGGCGCCGTGTGATCTCAATGAGGATTCGGATCCGCGTCCCTGGTTATCTTGCTTTACGAGTCCCCCCGCATTTCTTTGTAGATACCCTGCTCGAAGTTGGCACATTTGCCGCCACTGCACCCTGCGGCGGAAGCGTTATCGCACTTGCGTGCCACGGCATACCTGTGTGATTGGCAACTCCGATCGTAGCTCGTCCGCCGATTAACCATGATGTTCCCCTGGGCGCGTGATATGGCAGGTGAGTGGGATCACACTTCGGTGGGCTTTCGGCCTTCCGCCCAGGGGAGGACCAGACCTATAACAAGGAAGAGGATGAGAAGAGAGGAGGGAGGAAGGAAGAGGAGAGGGCAGTGGAAGATCATGGTAAGAGTAGGAGGGCTATAAGGCCGATAAAGGGCGAGGAGAAAGGAGACAGGAAGATGATGAGGAGGTCGGAGGATGAAAAGGAGCAAATGAGAGAACTAAGAGGAGGATGAGGAGGAGGAGGAGGAAGGAGAGGAGGAGGGAGAGGAGGATGAGGAAGACTTGTGGAAACTCAAAGCGGATCAACGATGTTGCAGTAAAATTTCATTCGAAGTCCCTTCTGCATAGCTAGCCATGTGAGCTTTAGTGTCGCAACGGGAAGTGCCCCATTGGAAGACAACCGCTTGAGAATCCACAATCGTGGAAAAACATCGCTCCTGGGACTACAGTACGGCGAATCAACGTGCTAATTGAGTCGTGATCATCCTAAGTCGTGCCAGAAGTCCGTGCGTGGGACTTCAACATACGGATGCTTGAAAATGCTGCTGCTATGCGTGCCGAACTTCCGTGCAATGGCCGAAAGTCCGTCCAAACGGCGCTCTCGCCTCGGCACGGGCAGCACACCGCCAGCGTCACCTCCACGCCGTGGCCAGTTTAAGAAGGACTCGTGAGGATGTCTAAAAAAACAGCTTTTCTGGTTCAGATGGGGGGCTGGACGACATGGGCGAATCAAACGCACGTTTGACGAACGTCAGAATCGCAGCGATGTCCCAGCATATTCGGCCACCCCCTGCGCTTTGCAGAGCCCACAGCGACAAGGGCGTCACCAGCACGCGAGCAGCGATTCTTATTTTTTTGTACGGGGAATGTTTCAGTTTCCGGCCAGGCGGCGCCATGCAATACACTCGCACAAAACAATGGTTTTGTTCAGTGACCCGGCAATTGTACGGAGGTCCGGCCGGAATAATACTTACAAGAAGGATGCGTGTGGCGTTGAGGCAGGCGCCACGTGTTGAAAAAGAACCGCCCTCCATGCTTGAAACTGTTTTCGTTTTTTGGTTGCGACGCGTGCGCGCGGCACTACGGCGAGAGCAACATTCTGAAGACCGCCCGCCCTCCATCCGTGAAGCTGCTGGAACTCTTCACACGGAGGCGTGCGGCGCGGAGGCGACGACCACGTCTTGAGAACGCCCTGCCCCCCAAAAGGCAACTTCTGCAACTCTTTTGAAGGCGAGCGCGCGCGGCGCTTCGGCGGGCGCCATATTTTCGAAACCGCCCTCCACCCTCGAAGCTATGGCAGATGTCAACCCTTCGGGGAGGACACGAGTGGTGCGGATGTCGGACGCGAGGCGCGCCCGGGCGCGCCCTGCCGACCGTTCTGCGTGGGCGACGGGGAGGAGTCCTGACGGGGAGAGGGGTGGAGAATGACAGCCAGGAGCGAGGATGGAGGGTGCTTCTGGTTCGTGGGGCCTCATTGGGTGGCAGTTGGTGGGTGGATGTCGATGGGAGGTAGAGAAGGGCGAGTAAACGGACAGTGCGGGCGAGGGTGGAGGAGAGGAAGCGGGATGCAGGAGGGACGGGTAGGACAAGTAGGCGCAATATATGCATGCTGAGCACGGAGGAGGGGGAGGAACTGATGGGAAAGAGAACAGATAAGTAAGGGGGAGGCCGATGCTTGGGAGGACAAATGAGGAGGAAGGGGGAGGCTGGGCAGCAAGCGTGAGGGAGAACGAGGAGGAGGAGGAGAAGGAGGCATGCACCGAGACGAGGGATCCGGATGAAAAGCATACGCGGGCAGGAGGAGCGTGTTAAGAGGGAGGCGAATGGGGAGAAGGGAAGAGATGAGGGGGGCAAGACGGAAAGATGCAGGAGCCAGCAGGCGAGACACGGAAGGATGCAGGATGGAGGAGACACAATTAAGCAGGTTGGAGAGAGGAGCAGTGAGCAGTCAGGGATGATGGAGAAGGAGGGGGAGAAGGCGCAGAAGCAACAGGAGTTAGAGCACCATGGGTTGGGCTTAGGAGGGGGAAGAGTCGGAGGAGGAAAGATGGCCCCTGACTCCCGGAAGGGGGGAACGAAGACGAGGATGGGGGAGGGAAGGGAAGCAAGAGGAAGAGGAGGAGGAGGAGGGAGAAGGGAAGGAAAGGATGGCGATGACGATGGTCATGGTGATGGTGATGTTGATGCTGATGCGGATGCTAATGCTTATGCTGATGCTGCCGCTGATGATGATGATGATGATGATGATGATGATGATGATGATGATGATGATGATGATGATGCAGATGCTGATGCTGATGATGATGAATGATCATCATCATCATCACCATCCCGACGCCGACCATGCTGATGATGAAGATGACGGAAATGGCGATGCTGATGTTGATGATGCTGATGATGGTGGTGATTATGTTGATGATGGTGATGGTGCTGATAATGGTAACGATGCCAGGGTGATGTTGATGTTGCCGATGGTGCGGGTGATATTGATGCTGATGTTGCTGATGATGTTACCGCCGACGATGCTGATGATGACAGTGTCGATGATGATACAAATATCGAATGTGTGAATCATGATGAGATTATGTTGATGTCCATGATGTTGACGCTGAGGGTGATGATGGTGATGATGCTGCTGGTTATTAGAATGTCGCTGCCGATACTTATGACGATGATGACGACTACGATGGTGATGTTGCGTGCACTGGTGATGCTGATGTGGAATTCGAGGATGGTAGTGTTGGTACTGATGACGATGTCGTTGGTGTTAGTGGTGATGATGTTGTTGATGATGATGATGATGATGATGATCATGATGATGATGATGATGATGATGATGATGATGATGATGCTGATGATGATGATGATGATGATTATGATGATGATGATGATGATGATTATGATGATGATGATGATGATGATGATGATGCTAGGGATGATGATGATGATGATGATGATGATGATGATGATGATGATGATGATGATGATGATGATGATGATGATGATGATGATGATGATACTAATGGTGATGGTGGTGATGATGATGCTAACGGTGACAACGAAGCCGACGCTGAGGACGATATTTGAAGACGTGAAGGAGGGGGAGGAAAAAACAAAAGAGGAGAAGGAGCAATTGGAAGAGGACGAGGAGGAGGAGGGGGAGGAGTTGGAGAGGGTGTTCACCTCAGGGGGAGGCTACAAGGACTGAATGGCCAGGGGGGGAGGGGCGCAGGAGGAGGCGGGAAGGAATGATGAGCGGGCAGCCAGACGTTTCAGGATGAGCGGGAGGGAGGAGGAAGAGAGCGAAGAGGAACACGAAGAGGAGGACGATGGAGGAGGGGACGGATGGGGAGTAGGAGGAGGAGGAGGACCAGTGTAAACCCAAGACTCATCAGCGATATTGGGATACACCCTCCCTCCAAGTTTCCACTTCATAGGCCCCATACAAGGATTCACTCCCACTGAGGGAAACGCCCCGTTGCGAGACAAACCTTTCAAAATCCGGAAGGGTACCACAACACTGCTCTCAGGGCGTCAACGTCACGAAGCATCCTGCTTTCTGCGTCCTGATTAGACACAGTGAATGTAAGGTAATGTGCTTTGGCAACAAAATAAGAATGTGCCCGGCGCTAAAGCGAGGGCCACATTTTCAAAGCGACCACCCTCAATCCGTGAAGCACTCGTAAGTGTTTGAGACGAACGTGCGCGGCGTTGTTGCGAGAGCCACATGTTGAAAACGTCCCGCCCTCAACCCGTGAAGGTCCTAATCTGTTTAAATCGAGTGCTCGCGGCGCTCAGGCGCGAGCCACAGATTGAAAACGACCCGCCCTACACACGTGAAATCCATACATACTTTCCCGAATCATCCTTTGGTGTTGGGTCGCCCAGTGCAGCGTCTCGTGGCCCCGTAGGGAGCGCCGCCGACGGCGCGAATTGCTCCCGCCCGCATGCGCACCCCCCACCCATGACAGCGCTTCGTGGCCACATGGGGGGGCTCCACCGAAGGTCACTGATAGCGTCACCCAGTGCAGCGCTTCGTGGCCCCACAGGGAGCTCCACCGACGGCCCCAGTGCTACCGCCCGCATGCGCGCCCCCCCCCACCTAGCACAGCGCTTCGTGGCCCCACACGGAGCTCCGACGAAGGCCCCAGTGGAACCGTCCGCAGGCGTCCCCCCCCCCCCCCCAGTACAGCGTGTCGTGGGCCCACAGTGAGCTCCACCGAAGCATTGCCACCGAGCTCCTGGGCCCTGGCAGGCGGGCGGCACCGACATCGAGGACGCACGCCCGGACTGAAACAGAACACGTCGTCGGAGATCTCGGGAGGCACCCTTGCAAAGAGTGTGCAATCCCGCGCTGCAGCGGCCACGATGCCCGGTTCAAGTGTGCCAAACCCTCCACCTCCCTTCCATGCCTTCCGACCTGCGCGGAAGGCGCGGAAGATGATGCATTCGAATGGTTGAACGCCTCCGGAAGCTTAAGAAAATTCAGCGTCTCGCGAAACGCAAGGGTGTGAAAGGTCAGCGCGGGAGGTCTGGAAGAAGGAGGGCGAGGGACACCAGTGCCATCACGCACTGCAGTGGCAGCGGTGCTCGGTCTGTTCGCGCACTTGGCCTCGGGCACCCCTCCCGCTCCCCACACGCCGCCCGGGCTCCTCCCCAGGAGGAGGAGGAGGAGAAGGAGGAGGAGGAGGAGGAGGAGGAGGAGGAGGAGGGGAGGAGGAGGAGGAGGAGGAGGAGGAGGAGGAGGAGGAGGAGGGGGAGGAGGACGAGGCGCGGGGGGGGGCGCGCGCAGAGGTGCCCCTGTCCAAGTTCGGCCGCGGCAGCGCCAAGAGCCTGCAGGAGGCACCACCTGGCGGGGCCGCCGCCCGCGTGCGGCGGCTCCGCGGCCGCCGCCGCCGCCGCCGTCCGAGGGGGGAGGGCTCCCGGGAGGCTGTCGGGGGCCTCGTGGGGCTCAGAGGACGCTGTCGGAGGGGGTTCGGAGGTCCTCGGCGGGCTTCGGAGGCCTTCGCACGGGTCTCGCCAGGACGGGGAGGGGGAGGAGAAGTCGGAGGATAAGGTGGAGGAGGTTGGCGGAGCGGAGGAGGGGGAGGAGGAGGAGGGGGGGGACGTGAGGTATGATGAGAATGATGAGGAGGCAACGCACCAGAGGGAGGAGGAGGAGGAGGAGAGGAGGAGGAGGAGGAGGAGGAGGAGGAGGAGGAGGAGGAGGAGGAGGAGGAGCACCAGAGGGAGGAGGAGGAGGAGGAGGAGGAGAAGGAGGAGGAGAAGGAGGAGGACTTCGTGTGGACGGGCCTGCCCGCCCTCTTCACATGCTCCCGGCGCGCGACCGCTCCCCGGGACGGCGGGGGGGGCGCGCGCGCTCGCTCGCCTCCTCGGCCACTGGCCGCCCGCCCCGGGCGCCGCCAGGGGATCTCGGTGAGCCTCGCCGCGCGCTCGTCGCGCCAGGCAGGAGGCGCTGCTCTCGGCTAGCGTGTGCCCCCCACGGGGCATCCTCCCCCCTCCTCCTCCTCCTCCTCCTCCTCCTCCTCCTCTTCCTCCTCCTCCTCCTCCTCCGCAGGCGGGGCCCCGGGGGTCCCCGAGTCCGATGGGACCCCCGGGGCACTCGGCGAGCGCTCCCTGCGGACCGGCGCCCGCGCCGGCCGCGGGGGGCCCTGGGAGGGCCCCCCGTCCACCGGCCCCCTCAGCCGGTCGGTGGCGGGGGCGGCGGCGAGGCGCGGCGGGGGCGGCGGCGGGGCGGCGGCCCGGGCTGTCTCCGGGGGGGCCCGGGGCGGCAGGGGCGCCCGCGCCGCGCGCCCCCGCGCGCCCGGCGCGTCGGGCGGCCCGCGCGCCCTGCCGCCGGGCGGGGGCGCCAGGCGGCCGGGGCGCCGCCGCCGCACCCTGCGGCCAGGGCCGTCGCGGCGCCTGCTCTGGCCCAGCCGCAGCCCGGGCGCCCGGTCGCAGGGGGTGCGACTACAGGGGTCTGAATCCCCCCCCCCCTGGCCGTGGCGGCACCCGGGCCCGGGGCTGCTTCCTCCTCCTCCTCCTCCTCCTCTCCTCTCTCCTCCTCCTCCTCCTCCTCCTCCTCCTCCTCCTCCTCCTCCTCCTCCTCCTCCTCCTCCTCCTCCTCCTCCTCCTCCTCCTCCTCCTCCTCCTCCCTCCTCCTCCTCCCTCCCCCCTCCCCCGGAAAAATTGGAGCGGCGGGACTTGGGCAGTTTTCGGCCTGCGGGGGCCCTCGCCGGGCCTCGGGAGCGTCAGACAACGACTCAGGACGAAAAAGCGGTCCCGAGTGTGTCAGGGCCCCTTCAAATGTTGCCACACTCGGCTCGTCGAGACTCCCAGAAGCCCAAAGGAGCGGCATGCCTCCCAGACGCCTCGGCACCTCGCCTCCCTACGCCCAGCCCTCCGCCGCGAGTTCTACGACGCCGTCGTGCGCGACCAGAAGTCGTACCTCATCGTCCACGGGGGCCTGCTGGAGCGGGTCGTCGAGCTGGTGAGAATATCGCTGCGCACCAGGCCCCTCGGACCGGACAGCGCCCGTCGTGCGGGGCCCCGCCCCCCGACGGAGCGTGCCGTGGGCGGGTCCCCGAAGGGTGCGGTGGCAGAACGAGCGGCTACCTCGCAGTCCGCGGAGACCTCGGCGCATGGTCTGCCACCGCATGCTCCTGGGGGCACTGCGCGCCCCGGTCGCCCGAGACGTCCTCGGAGCACGACGCAGCCCCGAACAAAAATCGTGCGGTCCCCCCGCGCTCCCACCGACCCACCACGCGGGGTGGTCACCGCACCGTTTTTGGTGTGGGCCCCCGAGTGTCAGGAGGGGAAAAAACACACAGACACAATTAATTGTCGACTCCCAGGAAAATATAGGAAAATATTGGAAAATATGGGAAGTGGGGGGAGACAAAAACCCAGAAAGTATATGAACATATTGGAAAATATGGGAACATATGGGAAGTGGGGGGGAAGACAAAAACCCAGAAAATATGGGAAAATATGGGGAATGTTTCCATTTGTGTGTATGTATTTGTGTGTCCTGGGGCCCCCTCACAGAAGCGAGCCGCTACAGAACACATCCGAGGGGGATAGAGTCGACACCGTTGATAAGGATGGGCCACCTTTCCACGTGCACCCCTGCATCCTTGCCTCTTCGGTCCATCCGTGCCCAGTGTACCCCTGCATCCGTGCCTCTTCGGTCCATCCTGCATCCTGCCTCCCGCCGTGCGCGGCGCGCTGCTTCACCCGGCGCATGTTGGTCTTCACCTGAGCTGAGCGGCGAGGGCGCCCGCCTCCTCCTCCGCTTCCTCCGCTTCCTCCTCCTCCTCCTCCTCCTCCTGCTCATCCCTCTCCTGTTCCTCCTGCTCCTCCGCCTCCTCCTCCTCTTCCTCCTCCTCCGCCCCTTCCTCCATCCTGCATCCTTTCCAAGTGTACCCTTGCATCCGTGCCTCTTCGGTCCATCCCTAACCACTCTCGGTGGCCGGCCCCGCTCGAAGAGCTTCGCCATGGGCGTCCAAGGGGCCTGCGTCCTCGCCGCGCATCTGCACGATCACCTTCGACCGCAGGGGGAAATGATTGCAGACAGGCTCTCGGAGGTTTTCGATGAACTTCGAGGTCCTCGGGGGGTCCGCAGAAGGCCCCCGGGGGGCCTTCGAAGAGGAGGGAATCGGGAGGCGGCGAGGGCGGAAGGTGGAGGTGTGGAGGTAGTGACGGGCGAGGAGGTGGAGGCAGTGGATCTCACAGCCCCGCTTGGCCCCGACTGCAGCAGTAAGGTTCGCTCCCTGCTCTCAGCTCGAAGCTCGAAGACTTCGATCCAGCATCGCAGCACGTCCGCCCGGCGCCTCGGTGCCGAAGGGGGCGCAAGCGCGCGCCACGCGCAGCGGGCCACCCGGCGAGAACGAAGAGCGCACGGCAGCGAAGCATGCAGGGGGAATGGGCGTCCGAGCGATGGCATGTGTCGAAGCGCCCCACGGGCGGCGGAGGGGGAATGGGGGACTGAGGGCGGATGACTGAGCGGGCGAGGAGGACGAAAAGATGGGGAAGATGGTGGAGGAGGGGGAGGAGTCGGAGCAGGCGATGAGGAAAGGACCAGCCGCGTAGGAAGTGCGAACGCGGCGGATCGGACGGGGCGGGGACGGGACAATCGGAAACAGGAATCGAGGACACGGACAATTGGAGCCTCCTCCTGTCTCCCCATCTCCACATCCTCCTCCTTGTTCCTCCACCGCTTTCCCCATCCCTCGTCCTCCTAGATAACTCCTCTCTGTCGCACCCCTAGACGTGTCAGTAGGTGTGGCTGGGCTTTTCGCCAGAGACTGGCTTGGCTTTAACCCATGGTTCCGAAGCTTGGCATATCCAGCATTCACAAGGATGGAGCACATGCCGTGTTCAACATGGATCGCTCGCCTTAGCGCCGCGCACACCCGATTTCAAAGCCTGTGCCAAGTATGAGGGTGCAGCGCTTCAAATTTGGACTCTCGACTTCGCGCCGCGGACATCCCCTTGTGTCAGCTTGCAGCAACCATGATGATCGAGGGGGGTGCCTTCAAAACGGAGCTCCCACCCCGGCTTCGCACACATGTGTCGCACAAGTGTGCACCGGCTGCCGGCGTCTAGGAGGTCGTGTTTTTGGTCACCACAAAAACACGGAGCTCGCAGGCTCGTCTCGAAAGCGTGCAGCTGTTGCGAGGACGGCTGGCGGCTCCCTTGCAGACCAGGGGCTCCTGCGCCCCCGGCGCCGCGCGCAGTCGTCCGAGAAGCCTGCGGCAGGCAACCCGGACGGAGGGCGCCCGGCTGCAAGAAGGGGGGTTCTCGCCTTCGCGCCGCGCGCAGGTCGTCCCAACAGTTTACCAAGGAGGAGGAGAGGGAGGAGGAGGAGGAGGAGGAGGAGGAGGAGGAGGAGGAGGAGGAGGAGGATCGAGGAGGAGGAGGAGTGGGAGGAGGGCGGAGGGTGGAGGAGGGAGGGAGGGGGAGGAGGAGGAGGAGGAGGAGGAGGAGGAGGAGGAGGAGGAGGAGGAGGAGGAGGAGGAGGAGGAGGAGTTTCTTGGGTGTACCGGCCTGAGGCCGCCCCCCCGCGCGCGTCCTCGCCAGACGCTGGCCTCTCACTATTCAGCAGGTGTCCCCCCCCCTCCTCCCGACGCAGTGGCCTGGGGGGGCGATGCGGCCCGCGAAGCGGCTGCGTAAGAGGCGTCGCTCGCCGACGTTGCGCTCGCTCAGGCCTAGTCCGAGTTTCTTAATAAGCGCTGGGGGGGCGCCACCTCCGCCGACAGCCCCACACCGACCCCAGTCGCGGGCAGCCACCGTGCGCCGAAGGCGCTCCGACCCCCGTCGCGGCACGACGACGAGGCGAGGTTGACCCCCGTCGGGGGGGTACCCCCCCACGCTTATCAAGAAACCCAGGGTAGCCTCCGCCAGCCCCATGTTTGGTCGGTTTGGAGTCTTAATTATTCACTGCGTGGGGATCCCCATATGTGCATCTCCTTGCTGGCGCTCCCTTGGTGGTGGGACTCGGTGAGGACGAATCTGGATTTAAGTGTGACTGAGCTGCCTCTCTCTCTCTGCTCTCTCTGCTCTCTCTGTCTCTCTCTCTGCCTCTCTCTCTCTGCCTCTATCTCTGTGCCTCTCTCTCTCTGCCTCTATCTCTGCCTCTCTCTCTCTCTCTCTCTCTCTCTCTCTCTCTCTCTCTCTCTTCTCTCTATTCTCTCTCTGCTCTCTCCTCTCTCTCTCACTCTCCCTCTCTCTCTCTCTCGCTCTCTCTCTTCTCTTCTCTTCTCTTCTCTTCTCTTCTCTTCTCTCTCTCTCTCTCTCTCTCTCTCTCTCTCTATCTCTCTCTCTCTCTCTTCCCTCGCTCTCTCTCTCTCTCTCTCTCTCTCTCTCTCTCTTTCGCTCTCTCGCTCTCTCTTGCTCTCTCTCGCTCTCTGTCGCTCTCTCTCGCTCTCTCTCTCTCTCTCGCTCTCACTCGCTCTCTCTCGCTCTCTCTCGCTCTCCCTCGCTCTCTCCCGCTCTCTCTCTCTCTCTGCTCTCTCTCTCTCGTCTCTCGCTCTCTCTCTCTCTCTCTATCTCTCTCTTCTCTTCTCTTCGCTTCTCTTCTCTCTCTCTCTCTCTCTCTCTCTCTTCTCTCTCTCTCTATCTCTCTCTCTCTCTCTCTCTCTCTCTCTCTCTCTCTCTCTCTCTCTCTCTCTCTCTCTCTCTCTCTCTCTCTCTCTCTCTCTCTCTCTCTCCTCTCTCAATCTCCTCTCTCTTCTCTCTTCTATCTTTCTTTCTCTCTCTCTTTCTCTCTTCTCTCTCTCTCTCTCTCTCTCTCTCTTCTCTCTCTTTCTCTCGCTTTCTCTCGCCTGTTCCTCCAACTCCCCCCTCTCTCTCTCTCCGCTCTCTCTCTCTCTCTCTCTCTCTTCTCTCTCTCTCCTCTCCCCCTCTCTCGCTTCTCTCTCTTCTCCTCTCCTCTCTGTCTCTGGCGGACTAGGAGGCCCGGGTCGACTCCTCTCTGGGAAGCCAAAATGTTGCCCCTGGCAGCGTTTGGTGACTATGAAGCCCCTGGTGGACCCCCCCTGGGGCTCCCAAATGATGCCCCTGGCAGCGTTTTGTGACCATGAGGCTCTCAAGAGAGACATGTTGGGGAGGCCAAACGGCAATTTTAGCTGAGACGTCCCACCAAAATCGGCGCGAACGGGCTCGTGACATCAGCCAGGGTGGCTCCCCCTTGGGGCTCCCAAATGATGCCCCTGGCAGCGTTTTGTGACCATGAGGCTCTCAAGAGAGACATGTTGGGGAGGCCAAACGGCAATTTTAGCTGAGACGTCCCACCAAAATCGGCGCGAACGGGCTCGTGAGATCAGCCAGGGTGGCTCCCCCTTGGGGCTCCCAAATGATGCCCCTGGCAGCGTTTTGTGACCATGAGGCTCTCAAGAGATACATGTTGGGGAGGCCAAACGGCAATTCTAGCTGAGGCGTCCCACCAAAATCGGCGCGAACGGGCTCGTGAGATCAGCCAGGGTGGCTCCCCCTTGGGGCTCCCAAATGATGCCCCTGGCAGCGTTTTGTGACCATGAGGCTCTCAAGAGAGACATGTTGGGGAGGCCAAACGGCAATTCTAGCTGAGGCGTCCCACCAAAATCGGCGCGAACGGGCTCGTGAGATCAGCCAGGGTGGCTCCCCCTTGGGGCTCCCAAATGATGCCCCTGGCAGCGTTTTGTGACCATGAGGCTCTCAAGAGAGACATGTTGGGGAGGCCAAACGGCAATTTTAGCTGAGACGTCCCACCAAAATCGGCGCGAACGGGCTCGTGAGATCAGCCAGGGTGGCTCCCCTTGGGGCTCCCAAATGATGCCCCTGGCAGCGTTTTGTGATCATGAGAGAGTGTGAGTGTGAGTGAATGTGACTGTGAGTGAGTCTGAGTGAGAGCGAGTCTCATCTTATCTTATCGAGTCCTATCTTATCTTACCTTTATTACCCTCTATCTTATCTTATCTTGAAATCTCTTATCTTGTCTTAGCTTATCTTATATCAACTCATCTTATCGCATC